CAAGCATGGAGAGTTTTACACCCTAAACACAAATAATAGAATTGAATAGTTCAACTAAACGGTTTAATTTAATTAAAATTGGACCAAGTATATTACGAATGCTAATGTATTTAACGAAAACTATGATATAACTAGTGACTGTAATGAGTGGAGGGATAAAGTTTCTACCGAATCAAGTGATTAGATAGATGATGAGCTTTTTCTTCTTGTGTTTATTGGCAAGATTGAGATAATTGGCAAGATTGAGAATCCGATTCCAACGATGAATCTCGTGGTGGCATTATTGTTCTGTTAAAATATTAGTTTCAATAATTGAAGAAAGACGTTTTCAAAAAGATTTAGTGTTAGACAAAAATAAAAGTGGGACAAATGGACTTTAACCAGCTCAAAAGACCAAGTAAACACATGCGACGTGTGCTTTAATAACAAGGGGATAAATATTAATAAAATACTTAAAATTGCTAATTATGAAACATGTGATATCATCATAGCTCATAGGTTTATCGTCCTTTTTCATAGACTTGATTAATTAGCCGATTCACAGGTTGTCGTGGTATGGCATTTAGGTTTTGTTACTAAACAAAGTTATTGCCTATTGGCCTATGGCACTCAACAAAATTATCATAAACTGGTTGTTAGAATCGATCATATCTTTATAGAGTAACTTTTTTTAAGAAAATCATGGTATTAATAAAAAAATAACGGTGTACATATCTTTTGAGAAAAATAAAACAAAAACCTTTAAAATTATAATTTGAAGTTTCTAAAGTACAGCTTTAAATTATACTAGCGTAATCTTTATTTTATACATACAAGGATATGAGGACTCTTAAGAGATAAATACAACAATATATTCACAAAGATATGAGGGCAGGATATGAATATATCTTAATATAAAGAATAGAAATATGGTGCATTACCGACATCTTTTATATAATGCAAAATAGTAGTATTAGTTGCATGTTTAAATATGTTTACCACAAGAAGACCAAATCAATAATGAATGTAGAACGTGGACATAAAACATCCGAAAATAAAATCTAAGAACATAACAAATGTCAAATGTGTACAAAACTCTAATAAAAAAAAATTAACGAAATATTTCCCTATTTTTCTTTGGTATTTTTTTTTTTGTTTTTCCAAATTAATAATGCTAACAGTAACTATAGACAGAAGAATCTAATTCGGAGGAACATATACGTTTCATAATAATCGCCATAATGTCAGGATGATTACTATTACCGCGTTGTATTATATCATGACTCTTTATCGACGAAGCCGCCGAGTTTCTCGTCCTCAACTCAGCGAGTGAACTCGCTTCTGGAATCACCCCCGACTCATTCGGCGTAATCGCTTCGAAATTTTTTGTCACATGAACATTCCCAACGAGTTGACTCAGCACGACCGATTCCGACACCGAGTTCCTTTTCTTGTGCTGCTGCATCGTCGCCCTCACGATCTCAGTGTGCATCGAGCTCGACAATCTCCTGATTCCTTTCGCTCCACCGATTAAAACCGCCGGGTTAATCTCGGATGTTTTCTTGCTACTGTGTCTAGAGGAGGAAGGGAAGAAGAGGACCGAGTCGGGGCTCCGATTTCGAATCCGGGTTAACGGGTCACCGAGGAACAAGGTGGTCTTTGCGTCAACGAGCATTACGTGCTTGAAATTACGTCTGACACGACCGAGCAGCATCGGATAACATGCCCATCTCCTCAGGCTCATCGGGAGGTGATCCATGAACCCAGATAGCGAGTTTTCCGGGTCCAACTCGCTCACGTCGAAACCCACGACCGAGCCGTGAGTCAACTCGGCTGACTCGGTCTCGTTCGATGCTGAATCGCTGTAGTTAGCTCGATGGCTCTTCTTCCCCCAGATAGGCTCAGATATCTCTTTCCTCGACTGCTTCTTCATGAACCGGGACAGATTGAATCCCCAAACTGAGTCGGTTTGATTCGACGAATTCGAGTTGTTGTGAACATCTACGAGTTTCGAGAACGAGTCGTTCTCTTCCTCGATCAATACAGCGAATCTCGAGGCCGACGAAGGTGAATTGAAGAGTAGGACAACGTCAGATCGGGAAGTGACTCCCGAACGGTGGAGCAACCGCATAAAGAGGCGGAGATCTTCATGCGTCGTATCGGAAGCGATATGAGCAACAATCAAATCGTGCATGCTCCTGGTTCCTCTCAGAAACAGAGTTCCCATCCCCTGGAGAGCAAAGGGACGAGTAATACCTCGAGTTTTGACGCCGACGACATCGCGATTGAGGAGAAATCGACGGTGTGAACGGGGAGAAACGGCGGGAAAACCAGAGGAAGGTTCGAAGGTGGAGAGAGTGAAGAGGAATAGGGTGAGGAAGAGGAGGAGGAGGCAGATGGAGATTGTGGATTGCGCTTTGGATAAGAGAAGACGGGAAGATCTGGAGCGGAAGAGGGTCGTCGTTGCCGGAGAAGAAGGAGAAGGGGAGTCGTTGTCGACGGCGGAAATAGTTCTGGGGGAGGTGTTGTGGTCGGGGAAGAAGACTAAGAGAAAACCCATTCCTCTTCCGCAATTAGTGTTCTTCGTCTCTTTCGCTGATATCAAACCCATCTCTCCCCGAGTTTCTCTGGTTAGTGGCGACGAGAGGCTGAGGCTGAGACTGAGAGCATTCGCTTCTCGAATTTGCCTTTTCTGAGATTTTTGTATCAAAATAATTTAATCTGTGATTTATATAATATTGTTGACAAAAAGGAAAAGGATGGCCGGGCCGGGTCGGGTCGGGTCGGGTCGGGTCATTCCGGCACAGATACTTGTTTTTTTTTGGGACAAACAGAAAATTGTGGGTCAAATATACAATAGATGTTAACCTGACGCAGCCGAATTTTAAAATTTAAATTTACAGAATCAATGAAACTGTAATTATATGTCTATAGTTTGTTACCTTCATTGGCTATGAATACGATCACATGTTTATCGCCAAAAAAAAAATTAATTATAATACCGGTAAATTCATCCTTAGTTAATTGTATTGAGCTTATAAAAAAGAGTTTGTAGTATGTAATAGTATGTATCTAGTAATTAGCACCCAAAAAAGTAGTACTACTATGTAACTAATATTTAATAAACCAATTTGATTAAAACGTTAGTATATAGGGTGGTGCCTAATTTTCTTTAAAAATAAAAAGTTTGACCGTTCTCACTCAATGTGAAACATTGAAAAGTATAGGCATATGTAAATAATTACTTTGACCGGATTAATCCCTTTTTTGAAGCGAAGAGTTTTAAAAGGGACTTGTTATAGTTATATCAATAAACATGATTTGTCATTTATGGAATGTCGTTATCCAACGTGATTTTCCTCATTTTCGTGTAAAGGTCGTTTTTTTCCACCTAGATTTATTGTTTTAGGAGTAGATAATTGAAACCAAAATACGCAGTTGAATGCAATTGAATGTTGAGTAATGAAAACTGATTCAATTCTAAGCAACACACTTTTTTGTTAAATGGTGAGTAATTTATGGAACAAAAAAGCCCTCATTTGTCTGGCTAAAAACAAAATAGGCCAATCAACAATTCTAAATTAGAAATTAAAAGTTTTGGATTTACAATCCTTCTTTTTTTAAGAGCCAAAAGTGGCAAAATACAAGAATACGGAATAAATAAAAAAATGTCAGATACGTGATGAATGCAGTTAGTAGTATACTCTAGGCTTAGGCCCCAGTTCATTAAATCTGCCCCCTTGATTACAGCGAGGATCCGTGATCGGACGGTAGAGACATGAGGAAGGGTCGTAATGAATAAATGGTTCTTTTAGTATTTATTAAGTGTATAATAAAATCAAGTGAATGGGTGGGGCCCATAATGGTGATTTGACTTTTGTTTGGGAGTCCGTGAGAACAAGTGTGTGTTGAATGCTGACGGTGGATCTCATTTTTCTAATTGGAACCTTCTGATGAAGCTCCTGCACACGTGGCGTCTCTTCTTCTGCAGATTTCCCGTTTTTAGGTCGGGACTTGTGCTTTATTATTCTATTTTTATTTCCACAATTTCGTATGATTATGTACGTATTCGTATAATCGTAATTACCAAATTTTGTGTCGACTACAAAACGATCCAAAAACAAATGTTTGATATATCAGAATTAACAACGCTTAAAGGCTAGTGGTAGTTTAATAATTCTTAAACCGTTCGCTATCTATCATAGTTCAATGAACTTAAAACATTTGAAGTTTACAATTTACCATCATTAAATACTGTAAAATTACAGTTGAAAATCATTTACTTCACTGGTTGTCCACTGCTTTCATCTAAACAATTTTAAAAATCGATGATCACGACTTGTACTTACTGACGAAAAAAACGCAACCTGTACTTTGTCAAACTCTTTGGTGATTTTGACCTTTTAATATTATAAATCGAAATAAATCGAAATTTTCAATAATTTTATTTATTGCATGGGTCTGAGCAGCCTGTCCAGACTGTTTTCTATACCATCAAGCCGTCGGCGATCACTTGATTTGTCGGTGGCCTTGACACATTTGATTTAAAACATTACTCTATTTTAAAAGCCCAAAGGTATAATTAAGAACACATTGTGGCCCATTATATGAATGGCCCAGAAATATTGGGCTGGGCTTTTAGTTCCGACCCATTTATATTATATATATAAGATACGGAAAGAAAACGTGAAGGGTGAGACGTTTTAAATTGTTTTCCTGCTGATTAATTTTTTGTATCATAGATCCGAGATGTTGACGTACTCTGTTTCTTGGCTTTACTGAATATTGTTAACAAATTGCTAGAAAATGTACAAAGTATCGTGTGCTGTGTTGGGAACATCAGTGAGAAAATCTAATGTTATTTGATTAATCGATCCTTGTTGACACAAGGAAAAATGTTCACCTAACTCATAAAAGCAAACTCTACCGGAGAGTAATGCTAAAGCAAAAGAAGAAGAGCCAGAAACAAAGGTGAATACACATTAAACCCTAAAAATACCAGAATGAATAACTGATTTCGATTAATCAGAAGCCACTTGGCTCCCAGAGTTATTATCGCAGAGCAATTCGATCTTCGGTTTCTTGCTCTTTGTAACATACCCTGACGACGACAACCTAAGAAAGACAGGGTTTCTTCAGAATCCTCAGAGACCTCAAAAACAGAAACAAGATTGTAACAGAAGGTAGGGTTTTTGTTTGCAGTTTACCCCAGCTGCAAGGAAGTGTCGGAATGGTGCTGCTCCTCGTTTTCATTCTCATCGTCGTCTGATGAAGAGCTCTCGGGATCTGCTTGAGGGCTAGAAAGCTGAGGTATTTCACTCAACCCTTTTGGTCCACATGAACCTCTCCCCAACATCTCTACCTGAGTGTAAATCTAGATTTTAACTCTGCAGATATATATATATATATATGGTGAAGACCAGGCCGAGCCAATCCAAGGGTTTGACAAATCTTTTTACCTGTTTGCGCAAGAGTTGGTTCTCTTCCAATGCTTTTTTCTCCTGATACATTGTAAGCAAATGAAACAATGATTTTGAGATTCAACAATCGTATAAGAATTTGATGATATACAATTTGAGAAGCTTACCTGTAAACGGGATCTTTCTACCTGGTTGAGCAGGATTTGTGTCTGGATCAAAACAATCATCTCAAGTCAGGAACGAATCAAAAATCGATTTCATTTTTTCAAATCTGTGACTAAAGTAGTTCTCTGTCTTCACCTTTTGATCCTTGACACTATGCAAGCTGTCATTCAACTGGTTTTCAAGAGAGATAAGATCCGAGAAGCTCATACCATCAAGCTCCTTACCCTTCAGTCTCCTGCGCTCAGGAACCAACAGAACAAAAGCGGATGAACAAAATGAAAGACAGAGACTTAACACAAGAACAAACACATCTTTAGATACGTACTCAATTGCAAGCTGTAGTCTCTCAAGTTCGTTCTTCATACAATCTTCTTTTCGCAGCTGCAACAACGGAACGCATTGTAAGAATAATATTTGTACGAGAGAAAGAGATACAAAACGTTCGTAGTAGAGAGAAACTCTGCATATAGATATACCACAGCTCCATTTTCTTGTGAGGAACAAAGTAGAAGCTGTTGTTCTCTTTGTTTATGATCACCCGTCGCAGAACTGTATCCATATCTCGAAAGAATTTGCTCCATACTTCATATATATGGAAAAACTCTCCGTTAGCCAAATCACTCAAATAGGTTTTGATCATTAGCACCAAAATCATGAAAATAAACTCTTAACAATTTCTTCTGCATTCACAGTTTCTTCTCAAAAATGAGATAAACACACCCGCTTTCGAAACAAATCTACTCTAATATAGTCTATTAACTTTAGAATTACGAATCTTCCAGATTTCTTGAAACACATATCTGCATCAGCCATATTTTTGATCCCAGAGAAGTACCAAATTGCAGTTTCTTCAACAGTTAGGGTTTATAACTCACAAGTATCCGATTGCAAACCCCCAAATTACAGAGGATAAACAAAAAACCCAGAACAAATATTTCACCATCAACCCTAAGATTTAGCCATAAAATGCATACGGAGGACAAACGCTTTGCTCTGTTTTCAATCGCTCTAGACACAAAAACCCCCCCAAAGAGTAAATTACAAATTTAACCCAAAGAGAAGATTTCTTTACCAGCCGCTGGAGAAATCGTAAATCTTGCCGGTGCTGGAGAAGATGATAAGAGCAACGTTGGCGTCGCAGAGAATCGAAAGCTCTCTCGCCTTCTTCATCAGCCCGTTTCGTCTTTTGGAGAAAGTGACTTGGCGACTGTTGACATTCTCAATCTTCTTAATCTCAATCCTTCCTCTCCCCATAGTCTCCGAACGGAACAATCGATCAATCTGGGCTCTGTAAATGAGAGAAAGCAGGGTAAGAGATGGGATTATACAGAGGAAGTAGTAAGGCTTTTTGTGTGTATATATAAAAGAGAGATTTTTGTATATATAGATAGAGAGAGGAGTGGGTTTTCTTTAGAAATTGATCAAATATGACAATTGGGAAAGGGGCTAAGGAAGGAAAACTAGACCAAAATTAGGGTATTGCATAAAAAGATGGAGTTACTATAAGTAGCAGTTTTCCATATTTGGTGGCTTTGCTAATTTGCTTGCTTCCTCCGAGTGGCTGTTTTCTTCTTTTGGAATTTCTTCCCTTTTATAACGCCTTATTTGGTTTGGCTTCTCTTCTCTCCAATTGTAATCGCCCTCTCTCTCTCTCTCTCTCTCTCTCTTTTTTTCTTTCTTTTTTTTGTTTATATATAGATATATATATATAATATCTAGGGTTTTCTATTGTGCTTCTCCTACTTTTATGACGGTTCTAAAACTCAATCCACCAACAAATTTGAATTCTTTTTTTATTGTTTTACAAAGAAATGTAAATAAAAGTTTACCGTGTCTCACGATATGATTTTAAAAAACAAACTTTAGAGCGTATATTGGAAAAATATATTTGAAAACAATTGTTTTAAGTCATATAGTCAACAGGAAATTTAATATAGCGTACGAATAACTTGATTTTTATTATATTTTCTTGGCAACATGAATAAGTTCTGTAATTTATGTTTTCGAAATATTTTTTATACCACGTAAATATAATAATTTGTACTTAACGCTCATATAATTATAAGATATACTAAGAAGATCTAATAAGATAGCCAAACGTGGCCTTGCTTGAAGAATAATATGAAAAGAAAAAAACAAAAGCTGTGGCTTTAATGCTTCTATATTTAGTAAAATCTCGCAAATTCGGATTACCTTCCCCTCTAACCGAATTTGTTATATTTATAGGAAAAAAAAAATTCCCTTTTTAAGAAGACTTTCTATTGTAACCGATATTTGGATATAGAGAGAACGTAAATTGTATTTTGGAGTTATCCAAACATCAGGAAAATATTGATACTGGAAAAAAAAAAATTCACCCAATTGGTGGTTGAGATTTCTGTAAACATATAATTTCGTCAGTATATTTTTACAAATTTGGAATTATTTAAGTGTAAATATCAATTCAGCTCAACGCTTTACTTTGTTTTGCAGTGGAAATAGTTAATGCTGCTTTTTTTTTCTTGGACTCCGTATTATCCTCTTTTATTTTTTTTCAAAGTTGATATTTTTTAGTAAGGCTTAAACCACTTAAACCGGCTTAATTTACACGATGTTTTATTAAAGAACCAAACTCTGGTTTTTGATGTGCTTTTTTGGGTATGTCAGTCAGAGTGGTAAGGTTTGATTTTTAAGTTTGTTCTCGATTAATTACATAATTAATCTCAAATTTTTTATTTGTTTATTTTTCTTTTGTGCAGGTTCAGTTTAATCTATATCTAAAAACAAAAACATTTTAGTCGAATGGGAATTCAATTCCTTTTTTTCTTAACCAATATCATGTCAAAATCAGCTCAATGTCGTAATAGATTTGGATATATCTTATATACCAATAAAATCTAAATACGTAATAAGGCAGAGCGAAAGTTAATAAGGTACTAACACAATATTTAATGTTTTGTATCGCCCAACTCTGCACCATTTCACTCACATCAATCACACACAATAAATCAACATAAAAAGGACAATATTGTTTTTATTAAAAAAAAATGCTAGTAATAGTATTATTAATTTACCACACACTTTTATTATAATCTGCCAAAAAAAGGGAACCAACCAGTTGTCGTAACTACATGCAATTTCTTTCCATTTTACTCTTTTCTTCTGTATTGGACTAGCTGTCTAGCTTAAATCAACTACATTTCGGAAAATAATATATTTGCGATGATATAATCACGAAAAGGTACAGAAATCTAAAAGTAGAATATTCTTCATATAAATACAAAGTCAATCTTTTGTAAATATAAAGTCAATCCAAACTCTAGTCTTGCATCGCAAATCTCGGGTCCGAAAAAAAATGAAGAGGAAACGACGAAAGACACAGAGAGACGTGCTCTCTAGGTAATTATGTTCAGGCCTCATAACAACGAATATTTGGACCTCAAGGCCCATTTTGATGTGGTAACAGTTTAATTAGATTCTCCATTTTGATGTGGCTTGCTCTCTACAAAATGATTTTTATACAACAAGCTCTCAAACTCAGTTAATTGGTAAGATCCGGTTAGTGAATGCTATACACCGGTCCAAATCGCTTAACCGAGAAATCGTAAGCACGAGACAACGGTTTCCTGAATCTTTTCAAGTCGAGATTCACGTTCTGTCGCTCGAGATATATCTTCTTAGTGTACTCCCAACCTTTTCTAGTAAAACTCTTGGGGTCTCGGATTATCGGATCATCGTTGCCGTATTCATCATATAAAGAGCTCTCTTTCGGTTTAATCTTGTATCCAATGTACTTCAGTTTCATCTTCTTGGCTGGTCCTCCGTAGAAAGTCTCCGCAGCCCACTCGGTTCCTATCGGTATAATCTGTATCAAAACGGTTCTCGGTTTCAAGAAGAGCAAATGTGTCATCGCAGCTCCATGGACACCGACCATCGCATCGCTAGAGTTCAAACATCTGTAGATTTTCGCCAGCTCGGTGGTTTTATCCGGTCTAAGAACCTCCACAAAGAATCCGATTTCTTCAGCTAAATCCACCAAATCATTCTCATTCAGTATCTCTCTCGATCCGTTTCTTGACAGAATCACCAGCTTCGGTCTCTTCAACAGACCATCTTCTTGAATCCTTTTACCGGTCTTGTTCGCTGCCTCTATCTCTTCGTCTTGAATCAATCCACGGATACGCGGCCAATAAGCACGATCCAACACGTTTCTGAAGTCAAGAATCGTTTTATTACCGAGCATTAACGATGAACCAACAGTTAACTCGTCGTGAATCCTTAATCCGGCAATAGCTTCCTTGAAACAGTGTGTTCTGTTGTCGCCGTTGAAGTCCACCGGAGGATAATCGGATAGCTGAGAAACGATATCACCGTATTTGGTGACCCACCAACTATGATACTCGACGATCACAAACACAACCTTCCTGTTGAAATGATGTGATGTGATGAACAGAGGGATGATTCCGTCGTTGAATTCGTGGTAAACGTTTCCAGTATAGCCACCAGTGGAGAAAAACACGGCAGGAACATCGTATAACACATCGCAGATGTTATTATCATGTTCATTACCAGAGAGTGAAGAGTTGTCATCTCTGTAAACGAGGTTGAGTTCTTGAACCGTTTGCATCACGCTTGTTTCCCATTTTCTTGTGTAAGGTTTCACCTTTTGAGGGGTTTTGGACTTGTTTTTGAGGGAAGTGTAGAGGAAGACTGATGAGGAAGCAGAGTGTGTTCTTACATCTCCTTTCATGATACAGACGTCGGATCTAAAACCGGCTCTGTCACAACAAATTGTTCCTGCAAATTGAGATGAAATCACTAACGGAGGTGGTTATATTTATAAAAATCAGTTTTTTTAGATGAATAAACAATTCAAATAAGAGAAATAGAATGCTCTGAAACATCTGATTAGGGAGTATTAAGAGTGTAATTAGAGGTTGTAAGAGATAAATACCATTGGGGATTCCTGAACACAGAGGTGCGATGAAGGGTTCATAAGGACCAAATCCTTCACTTTCTCTGTTAAAAGCATCTGCAAAAAAAAAAAAAAAAAAAAATCAGAGAGGAAGACAAAACTCACAAACGAAATATGAGAAAAACTTTGAAAGAAATTAGCAAATAGGTGATAACCTAGGAGAGAGAAGGAGGAGAAGCTGAAGATGTAACAGCAACAGAGGAACGAGAGAAAGATAATCGATAGGAACTTCTGTTTTGTACTCTTAAAGTAGCCGCCACCGGAGACGGCGACGGCGGTGGCACCGGAACCACCTTCTTCAACTGAAACTCTAAGTCTTTCCCCTTTTTTGATTAATCTCTGGTACTGCACCATTTCTGGGAAGAAGACACGACCAAAAGTGCGAAAAACCCCACAAGCGAAGTTTCGATCTTTACGAAGCTTCTGATCGACTTTTGGTATTCTGACTAAGAATCAGGCAGAGAAGAACGTTCACCGGAAAATATTTAAAAAGAAGAGAGAGATGGGTGAATTGTCTCTGATGAGTGATAAGGATTAAATGTTTTTTTCTGGGGTTTGCTGCTTTCTCTTACACCAAGAGAGAAACAGAGAAGATGTGACTTTTGAGAGAGGATGTTTCAATTTGAAGGTTGTTTTCGATATTATTAATCTTTTGAATTTTTATTTTTTTAAAATGTTTTGGCCTTCATCGAATTTTCTTTTATCGTCACCAGATGGAATGAAGGAGAGATCTTAAGGACGTGTCAAAGAAGGAGAAAGAAAAAAGGGTTCATTTTGTATTTTTGTCAAAGAGGGACCTTTATTAATCTTTGACATTTCTCCAGTCAATCTTTGAGAGTGTTATCAAATCAAGTTTTTGAATATATACACAGTAGAGAGGACTGAGCTGAAAACCAACCAATCTTCGGTTTACAATTTACAGTGATTAAATATAATTAAATTCGCAATGTCAGACTTGAATTTCTCTAAACTGCTACACTTACGCAAAGATTCGTGATAATTATTTGGACGTGATGGAAAGATTCGTGATTTACGCAAAGAGGAACAAATGGATAGGAGGGGAATGGTCAATTAGTGGGCCATCACCACGGTCAATCAATGAATCGTTGTTTCTTTGTGTCCGTCGAATTACATTTAACTCTACTCAAAACTTTTTCTGTTTTTACGAGGTTTGGGTGGGCCACGAGGCCCACGACTACTGAAAAAGGGACGGGCGTCACGTGAGACAGTGAGAGTGAGCCAGGCAAACGGCCAAAAAAAACGGCACTGGTTTTGGTTACGTGGCCATCAAACGGCACGAAGTTCCCTCACCCAATCGACGACGCTCATCGATGGTTTAAATATCAGGGGAAGATTGTGAACCGTCCAATTAAAATATAAACTGGTCCCACTCCAAGCTACGTTCGAGATTGTTTCATTTACGTGTACCACAACACACCTGAATTCTTACCCCTTCTCTCCTTTTTTGGGTCTATAAAATGGGGAAGCAACCGTTTCTTCTTCTGTTCACTCCCTCCACTTCTCTCTTTTTCGAAATCTCACTTGACTCTAAAGAAGAAAGAAACCAAATAAATCTTAAAATCAGGATAGCAAATTTAGGGTTTTGACGATGTGGGACTTGGGTGAATGTTGCAGTGGCTGTAAGAGTAAGGCCGGGATCGTGATCGATTGCGTGGCGAGGAAGATAAGCTGCTCCGAGTGTGGTCTTGATTTTGGTCCCTCCATTGTCGCCACCGAGCCGGATAACGGTTCCTCCGGTGATTTCTTGTCCTTGACTCTTGGAAATTCGCGGCATCGTGGCTCAGATCCCGTCTCCATCGCCACCACCGAGCCGATGAATACTTCTTCCGATGATTTCTTGCTCTATGATCTTGGAAACTCGCAGAACCGTGGCTCCGATCCTGTCTCCGAAGCCACCACCGAGCCGAATAATGATTATGTTCAGAAAACTGGCTTCGATCCCCTCCTTATCGCCACCACCAAGCCGATCAAAGCTTCGTCCGACGATGTCACCATCGCAGCTATGTCCGATAGGTAGCGTTTTGTTTTCTTTCTTTCTATCTATCACTAAGAAGTTTAAACGTGCAGAGTTAGATATTGATTCATCCATTTTTACAGGTTGGGTCTTCTTGCGACAGTCAAGGTAAGCTTTTTTTCTTTCTTTTGTTCCTCTATAAACGAATAGTTAGTATACAGAAAGTTTGAATTGGCGAGTGTTCTTGATCTGTAGAATGAAGCTATTGAGATATCTAAGAAAATCAAGAGTGACAGCAGAGGAGTGAGACGAAATGTCCGTTTTGCTGCTTGTATCTACATTGCCTGTCGACTAAATCATATGGCGTTGACTATTGACGGTATTTATTAGTTCTAAACTTGGAAAGATTCTTGTTCCGGCTTTTTGCTGTAGATCTTGCCATTTGTAAGCTGAATCAACTTTTTTTCCTTCAAAACCTTTCTTTTTTAATATAGAAATATCTTCTGTTGCCGATGGAGCCAGTGCGTCGCATATTGCCAATGCAAGTAGATCCATAGCTGAAAAACTTGACCTCAAGTGTGCTCCGTTGATGCAAATCCGAGCTTCTGAGTTTGCAGTGAGTTTGTTGTATACCTTAAGCTTTTCCTGCATTGACCTCGCGGCTCATATACTGACACTATGTTCATCTGCAGAAGCGGTTTTGCTCTACCCTTCAAATGGATAGCCAAGTAGTTACAGCTGCTCAAGAAGCTGCCGAAGCATCTACTGGATTTGTTAACAGGTACACACCTTCACTATTTGGGCAGTTTCTGGAATTGAGTAGATGTATGGAGACACATATGATGCAGCAGACTTACGAACTCTGTTTTGAAGCAGCAGGTCTCCGTTATCAGTCGCAGCCGTGGTCGTATATGTCATTGCTCGAGTTTCTTATGAGAAGAAGCTGCTCACAGGTTGCATCTAAATTTCCATCTAATTTCCATCAAACTCTCATGAGCTCTTCTCTTTCTCTAACTTATGGACACCTGATGAGTTGCAGCTATCATGGAAGCCACCGGAGTCAAAGAAACCACGATAAACGAAACATACAAGGACTTGTATCCATATCTGTCAACGATAACACCGAAGTGGTTTGCCAACGCAAAGGACCTGAAAAAGCTTGACAGTCCTTAGATTCTTTATCTACGAGGGCACAAGCTTATCTCACTCAAAGGAAGGTTTTAGTATTCCGTTTTGTTTTGGGAGCCCTTTATAAGATTCTTACGAATGCCTTGTAGAAAAACAGAAAGTTTGTAGTACATATTACCTCATGAATACAAGAGCATTCCTGTTTTTTTTGTTCGTTACATTTATGGTAAGACAAGGAGGTCTATGGAACTGAAGGAAAAGAAACTGACACGTCCCTGAGCGATGTGACAGAACATTAACGGTGCAGTTACGCGGCTTTGCAGAGCTTTAACATCTTCTTTGCTTGGTGGAGAGTCCCTGTGAAAAGAGAGGATTTCCGTATATATTGAGTAAGATGTTCAATAAAAAAACTTGCTTTCATAGTTAGAACCAACGAAAACAAAACGCTTACCCCGAGAAGCAAGCCACAAAGCTCGGTTCACCAGGACAAGACTTCTTGAACCTGCTGTTTGGCAAATACACGTCAAACACAGCTCTTGCATCACATAGCTGCATATCTCCCAAGAGTTTAGTAACATCGTCCTTGGCTTCAGTACATTCACCGGCACAAACCGACTCTTGTTCACCACTTGGTGTCGAAATGGCGGCAGCATCCTTTGACGTCCAAGGAACTCCATGCCTGCTTAGGATGTAACCTAGACCCTTTAAGTATCTATAAACCTCGTAGTTTTCCCAACAGCAGCCGCTTTTTTCCTCTGCAACTTTCTCATACAAGTCCTTCAATGGGATCACTACGTCATCATCTTCACTACCCATGATCTGCAACTCTCCTATTTCACTCAAATACCTGAGAACAAATGAAGAGATTTCATCAGATGATTGATCAAAAACTGCAATCTAAAGTAACTTTTCCTGTGTTGGCACATACAGAGCCTCTTCTATGAAGCAATAAGTCTTTCCGCTACGGACGATTCCAGTTGTTGTCCAAAGTTTCCCTCTTTTAACCTCAACTTGAGCCATTCCTAATTCGGTAACCCAACGAGCCTTGGAAGATCCGACTCTACAATAATGCAAACACTCGTAAAGCGACAAAGAATGACTGTAAGAGACAACTAAATCCAGAAACGAGTTGCTGAAGCTAATCTACCTGAATTGTAACTTGGGTCCTGAACCAGTAAGATGAAATTCTTCGTCATCATCGACTGCATAATCAGCTTCGTCTTCGCTCGAAAAGGAAGCTTCCCAGTCTTTTCCCTCCATAAGCTTCCGCCGAAGAAAATCGCTGGGGCAATCCGTCGAACAGTTGGCGTACAATTAGATCCGTCTCCTTTAAAATTTCGCAGGTCACTCTTTCTTTAGTACCGAATCGGGAAATAAGGAATAAATACCCCAAACCGAACCGGATTAGACCGCCTCTTGCGAGTTAAATGCGAAGAAGGAAAGCAAAATGATTCAGAAAGTTTGAAATTCCTAAACCCTTCCCCATTCCCCTTTCTCCTCCCACTGCAGAGCTCGAATCGAAATATCAATGGCGAACGACCAGGAGATGAGTGGATGGACTGATCTTCTCCATTCTTCGACGAAGCTTCTCGAGCAAGCGGCACCTTCGGCTCAGTTTCCTCCTCTTCAGGTTCTTTCACTAACCACCACTCTTTTCGATTTCGATTCTCCGTTTGTTTGTTAGGATTTTTTTTGCTGTTGGCCTCTTTGGATTGAGGCTCTGTGCATCTTTTTCTCAAAGAGTTTGATTCGTAACTGTGTGGGTGTTTCTTAGAGGAATTTGGATCAATTGGAAGCATTGTCGAGGAAACTTAAGGCTAAAACCCTAAGAAGCGAATCTCCTTCACAGTCTATTGCTGCCACGAGGTACTATTTTCTCGTTTCATGGGTTTTGCATTGAAGCATTGGGTGCGAAACCTCAGTTAGGTCCGAGGAGCCAAATGCAATATTTTCAGAAATTGTGGTCTTCCGCTGTTAAAACTTTCATTTATGGTTGGATACAATTATGCAGACTACTTGCACGAGAGGGAATCAATGCAGAACAATTGTCTCGTGATCTAAAGTCATTTGAGTTGAAGGTGAGCTTATGTTACTCTGTGCTTTGGTGGGCTTCTTGAGAGATAACTCGGTCTCTTGGTGGTTTCCTCTAGGGAATTATATATTTTTGGCTTTGGTCAGATACTTATTCTATTGGTTTTACAAGTATGTGACTCATATTTGTTGTTGTTGTTTGCTTACTCATCTTCAAGATTTTCATGAACTTCTATACTCTTTATTCTCAGTGCTACTGAATGACCTTTGCCTAATTTTTTGTTTTCTTTGGTCTGTAAAAGACGACATTTGAGGATGTATTCCCTGCCGAGGCAACAAGTGTTGAAGACTATCTGCAACAGGTGTTCTGTATTTGAAAATTCCCTATTTTAGATTACAGATAGATCCCTTTGGAGATAACTGATCGTTCCACATGCATTATTCTTGTCTCTAGGTTCATGAAATGGCAATGGTATCGGCTATACAGGAGGCCCAAAAGGATAGTGTTCGAAGCTTTAATGATTATATGTTGAAAGTATTGGAGGTCAGTATTGTGATTACTTACCAATTGTTTTGACTTGATCTCCTTCATGTTAGTTTTATACGTCTTATCTTCTTCCTTCAATCAATATAGTCCCCGCCTTTTGGTTCTTCTCATTAAAGGTTTGCACACAAAGATTGGTAAATGATATTAGCACGAAACCATGTTAGTTAATGGATTGTAATTTGGAAATTCTAGCGTAAGATTCGTTAGAAACTGGTTGAGTGCTTATTGCAAATTTGAAAAAAAAAAATTCCGAATTTATTTCATGTCCCTTCTCGTATATTCAATGTGAAATCCTCTTTTGGCAGGAGGACTGTAGAAAAGAAAAACGTGACTTCCTTCAAAGTCTTAGCAAAATTTCTATAAAACCTAAGACCAAGATGATCGATACAAGCAGAGACAGTCATGCTGGTCAACTAGTGCCTGTGGCATTGAATCCTCAAGTATCTTCTAAGGCTGGAACAGAACTTGCGTCTCTGGCCAACGAACCAATTCATGAGAAGAAAGCATATGTATATGCAGAGGTTGTGAAGAAACTAAATTCTTCAAGAGAACGAGGCTTGCCATTTAGAGTATGGTCTTCCTGCACCCCCTTGTGTCGATTTTAAACGACGTCCTGTTTGATAATTGGCTATTGCAACGGAAGATTATGCATTTTTCCTTATTGTCATTAGATGTCCATCTGGATTGTTAGAGAATTCTGTACCCGCTTTATCTTTTGATGATGATTTCCTTTAATGCAGCATTAACTCAAACTAGTTGACATTTATACTGATTTGTTTGGCTCTGATTCCTACTAATATCCCATTCATTCATTTTTAGCCTGCAACATCGTTCAAGAGTGCTTATGAAAGTCTAGGAATTGATTTGCCTCGTGGAAAATCAGTCAACGTGCAGAAGCTATGGCAACTTATTCAGGTGATCTTTTGATTGGAATTGTCATTTCACACCCGTTGGCACCTTATAGGAATTTTCTTACATTTCCAAGGCCTTTAACAATCTATAAAAACAGGCAATGACGGGTGAAGATTCAGCAGTACAAAAGGGTGTTTCCAAGAGGATGTCCCTCGTGATAGGTGCAAGACGCCACTTGGAATGTGGGCATGAGAAACATATAATGGATACAATTCAAAGTCATCCTTCACAAGTACTTGTTTCTATCTTGTATTTATTTTGTGTGTACATGCTACGCATTTGTCTTGATGCATCTCTTTAATAATAACTTGAAGGATGCTTTTTGAAAAGGTCCCCTATTCTTTCACTCTAATCATAACATGTTTCTATCCCCTTTTTCTAATTTTGTTCTAGGCTGCTCTTGGTGGATCTGTTGGAAATTTGCAACGAATTCGTGCTTTTCTTCGGGTTAGTGCGACAGAGTTAGTATTAACACGAAGCACATGTACTCACAATTTTTTTTTCCGTGCCAATCACATACGATGGGCTGTTTGCTTGATTTAGTTTTTGAATACTGTGCAGGTTCGTCTGAGGGATTATGGGATTTTAGATTTTGATTCAGGTGATGCACGTAGGCAGCCTCCAGTTGATACTACTTGGCAGCAGGTTTCGCATAATTTCCCTCATGCTTTGAATTCTCACCATTGTCCTCGACAATTAAATTGAACCAAAAATATCGTTTCATTCTGTTCCACAAGAGATTGATCAAATATATCTCCATGATCACAGATATATTTCTGCTTGAGAACTGGCTACTATGAGGAAGCTAGAGAAATCGCCCAATCATCTCGGTCATCTCAACAACAGTTTGCTCCTCTGGTATATTTTCAGGTCTTAATTACCTACATTAATGTTCCGGAGTCAGCTTTTGATTTGCACTTTTTTTTTTGGCAGCTTACAGAGTGGATTGCCACAGGTGGTATTGTGGCTACAAATACCGCTACTATTGCTTCTGAAGAATGTGAGAAATTGTTTAGGTTGGGAGATCGGTTGGGCCAAACAACATATGACAAGAAGAAGCTCCTACTCTACACAATCATATCTGGTTCCCGCAGGCAAATTGATCGCATCTTGAGGGACTTTTCGACACTCTTCAACACAATTGAAGATTTTCTCTGGTTCAAGTTATCATGCATACGTGACGTTGCTAGTGGATCTTCATCTGTGGCCTTGAACGATGGGCTAGTTCCTTACAGTTTAGATGATCTTCAGGCTTATCTTAATAAGTTTGAGCCTTCTTATTACACAAAGAATGGCAAAGACCCTCTGGTATACCCATATGTTCTGCTTCTTAGCATTCAGTTACTACCGGCGATCATGCACATGTCCCAAGAAGCAGGAGATGAAGGGTACAACATTGATGCTGTCCATATAGGTATTTCGCTAGTGGACCATTCCGTTCTGTCTGAAGGATCTGGGACAGGGCACAAACTAAGCGTGATGGATGCTGATGCTGAGGCATCTAGCATGATAAGGCAATATGGTTCGATGTATTTGCATCATGGTGACCTTCAAATGACGCTGGAATACTATGCACAGGCTGCTATTGCAGTAGGTGGGGGGCAACTAGCTTGGTCTGGAAGAAGTAATGTTGACCAGCAAAGGCAAAGGAACTTGATGCTGAAGCAACTACTAACCGATATTTTGTTACGCGAGGGTGGTATTTACTTTCTGCTTGGTGCTAAAGGCTCTGGTGAAGAAGGCGAGCTTGGAAGATTTCTGCCTGATTCAAAACTGAGGCAGCAGTTCTTGATCGAAGCTGCGCATCAATGTCAAGAAGCTGGATTATATGAGAAAGTAAGTAGCTTTTGAACTTTTTGATCGTATGCTCTCACATGCTTAGTAAACTGTTGATTGGTTATTATTTGTTCAACTGAAGTGACTTCACATATGAATTCTTTCAGTCTCTTAACTACTTGTTGTGCAATACAGTCTATAGAAATACAGAAGAGAGTTGGTGCGTATGCGGCTGCCTTGGAAACAATAAACAAGTGTCTATCTGAAGCCATTTGCTCCCTTATCCGTGGAAGGACAGATGGCGAAAGCCGAACAGCGGGACTCGTTCTCTCAGGAAACAATATTCTTGACACCTACAAATACTACTCTGAAGTCGGGTAAAATTGCAGGCTCTAATTAACTCATTTATTTAAAGTTTTTTTTGTGTGGTTGTTGAATAGGGAGTTTCTCACTAGAAGTTGTATACACCAGTTTCCAGGAAAGAAATCAGGTCATGGAACAAGAGACAATACTACGAGAGCTTGAGGCAATACTGTCGATCCACAAGCTAGCCAGACAAGGCAATCATCTAGACGCCTTGAGAGAAGCCGCGAAACTCCCGTTCCTTCATCTCGATCCAAGACTGTCCGGCACGACCCCGGACGAGTTCCATAGAGCATCCTCTTACTTCAAGACTTGTGTCCCTGATTTGCTAAAGGTTGTTCTGACTTGCGTGGACAACGTACCTGACACTGATGGATCGATCCGGGCCATGAGATCTAAGGTACACACTAGCAAATACAAACATGTATATATGATCAGGAGAGGTCATGATACGGATATTGATTATGAACTTGTTTTGCAGATTGCTGGGTTTCTTGCAAGTAACACACACCAGAACTGGCCTCGAGACTTGTATGAGAAGGTGGCTCGAAGCTTTTGAATTTAAGAAACGTAATGTCTTTTTGGACTTGGCAAGATAGATCTTGTAAGAAGGTGTTGAACCCAGTTTTGT